TAAGGTGAGTGGGTTGGCGGCGGATGGGCTGGGTAAGGTGTTTGGGTTGGCGGCAGATGGGCCAGGTAAGGTGTATGGGCCGGCGAATGGGCCGGGAAAGGGATTTGAGACGACAAATCGAGAGAATTAGAGGTTTGAGACGACAAATCGAGAGAATTAGGGGTTTGAGACGACAAATCGAGAGAATTAGGGGTTTGAGACGACAAATCGAGAGAATTAGGGGCTTGGGATGACAAAGGGGAGTGATTTGGGTTAGGGTTGGGGTTTGGGGCAGGGCAGCTTGCAGAAGCAGGCTCAAATGTCTCCCACCGTGAAGTTACGGAAGCTACTTGATTACCATTGTCGAATGGATTTGAATTTCTTGATTTGATGGTGTCCATTGTCTCCACAAGGCTCTGGACCCGACGAACCTGGATAGCGAACAAGAGTTTTTTCAGAAATTACGGCAAATTAATGGATATTCGACTAAATCTACTCATATAGAATTGGGCTGATCACAATGTGCAGCAGTTATTATAGGCCCGATTGGATATGAGTCAAAATTGATTTTAATGACCGATTGAATTATTTTATACCAATCAGAATCCAACTCAACCCAACCCAACTCTCTTACTTTTTATTAATATAATTAATTAACATTAATCAATCATCCTCACATCACATCAATTTTAATTTACTAATCCATTTACATAATTTAAACGATCCATCGCTTTATTGTTGAAAAAAAAAATCAACACTTCCAATCATTTTTCTCCTACTTTTACATCAAATCAACTTTAATCATTTTATTTTAAATATTATTATAATACAAAATCAAAATCATCACTTAATCAACTTCATTCAAAATAACTCACTTTAACTAACCAAATCCAACCAAAACCGGTTCGATTCATATCTTAAGAATTTCAGGACATGCGACAAACTTGGACATAAATCTGATTTCGACTTAAGCGGGGTCATAAAATACTAATAAAATTATTTATATTTAAAATTATGCATAACTTACAAACTATATTTTATAAATTATACTAACTAGTAAGTTTAAATACAATTTTTTTAAAAATATTATATACTTATAATTATTATATTAGTTTAATATAATTATTATTATTTTATTTTATAATTATGGTACATTTGATGTATAAAAATCAAAATATGTTTTTGATTTGTTTTGTAGAAAAAAAAAAAAAAAAAAAAAAAAATCTCAACCTGATCGGCCAGCTTATCGACTTCCTCCCTCACTTTAGCAACAGCTTCAACTCCTCGTGAGACCACATTTGTTTCCTTAACCTCATCAGGGATTTTCTGATCAGAAGAAACTTCCTCCACAAGTAAAACCTTAGCATTATCCTTCACACCGGCCGTTTGTAAACTTTCATCGTCTTCTTTCTCTTTACCCCTGAACAGTAGTTTATGTGTTTCTGGGTTCAAGCCGATTTTTCGAACTATAATTGATTTTAAATCACCTGCATCAAAACGCGCATAAACATTCAACCCACAAATATCCGAAACTATACCAAACAACCTTGAACCTCAAAATTTCAGCTCTGAAACCTGAATTGATCATACAGGCCATTCTGAAGCAAACCCGCCAGTTTGACAAAAGGTTTTTTTCAAGTAAATTGCTATTGCTAACAATATGTTCGCATTTTCAATACAACCACATCGAATAATCAGAACAATTTACTAATCAGAAAGTTATAGACAGCTAAATCGCAACTCAAGAGTACGAAAATCAAGCTGTGTAAATCAATTAATTTGCACCAAAAAGGAATCGAAATCGAACATACCGAAGGTTGAATTAGGAGGCAAGGCAACATCATGCTCGTCGGGCCCGTGGGCGACCTTAATGTTCAAACCATCATGCACAGCTTCGAGCTTCGCTTCCGGCCCGACTTCTCCATTTTGCAGCCCGTTTGCAGAGATGGGATGCACGCCCTTCATAGATCAAAACCTGATTTAGATTGCGCGATCAAAAATTGTTCCTTTTCGCTGGGTGATTATGAATTTATGATTTGCAGGGGCCAAGTTGTTAGTTTCAGATATCTCTTGAGCCCGAGGGTTTATACCTTTTAGGTCCGATTTCTTCATCAGGGTCGGTTGATGGTGGATTTTTTTGGGTCCGAATGTTGACGGTGGACTCGGACACGTGGCATCAGCGCAAATTACTCCACCATTTTTGACGGTTTTCACAAGTTAGCTTGATTGTTGTGTTCACGCGATTATCAACAAATAGGACTGCGATGTGGACGGTGGACCAAATTATGTATACAGCCCAACCTTGTTCATGGGCCATATAATGGACCTCAGTTATCTTATGATTTTGTAATAAATGGGTCTCAGTTTTGGGGCCCGACAGTTTCTATAATCTTCTTGCCCTGGGAAAGGAAATTAAATTATTTGGAAAAGACACATCAAATACTATATGATATTTATGTCATAATGTGTTAATTTATTTCTTAATTCTTTATAAAGATTAAATTCATTTATATATAATCATGCATAAGTAGTGACTATTTTGTTCTTCCGTAGCAATATTAGCCGGCCATCTTCTGAATGTATTTGTCTACACAAATGTTTGTACGAGGCATATGGTCCTCATGATCTAACAATCGATACTTAATTTTAAATCAAAATATACATTTCTACTTTTATTTGACATCCATCATAATTTTAAACAAAATAAGTATTTCTACTCCTATTGAATTTCATTTATTGATATTACAAGTTGAGCAAATTTATTCGGTAGAAATATCAAGTGAAAAGAACGTAACTCTCAAAAACCAAAAATTTAAAAAGATTATCTGAAAATGCTTTAACAATATGTCCAAGTGTTATTAATTATTGCAACTACACACATTCACGGGACTCGCAACAACAACATTAACACAATCACCAAATGAAGGAAAACAAAGGATAACGAAAATGGAGGACACAAAAAACACGCACACAACGATGCTTGAGTCAATATTGTAGCCGCTGTTTCAAGATTTGGCGATGAGCACAGCTTCCCCAAGCACGTGTCCTTCAATAGCTTCCAGAAGTTTGTCTTTAGTCACCTGTGGAAACAAAAACAATTGGTACAAAAATAATTAGTACACAGTAATATTAACTTCAATATTCTGCTAATTTTTCCTGATTAATTTTTGTATGATCGAAAAATTAGAAGTTTGATCGATTTAAACAAAAATCGAAGTTCGAGTACAGTGAATTATAAATGAGTTCAAACTAGAAATTTGAGAGTGAATTAATGTTTCGATATATTGCAACCTTTAGCAATATTTTTGGTTGACCTTTTAACAATACTATCAAGTAAGGCTAAATTTATTAGAAGTTTGAAGTATGAGAGTGAATCATCACACAAATTAGAAGCTAGCAATATTGCTGGGCAACCATTATATCAGGTAAGTAGAGGTTTTGTTTATATATTTTTTCTACCTATATTCAATTCACATTCAAAATTTAACTCAACTTTAACCAAATCAATTATACATAATATTATCAATATGACCAAATAATATCAATCCATCATTCAACCACATCACATCCATTTTAATCCACTATTCATCCACTCACATAACTTTAACTCCATGTCACTCCACATCATATATTTTCTACTTTTCCATCAAATCCAACATTAATTATTTTACTTTAAATATTATTTTAATACAAACTCAAAATCTACCTTACCAACTAATCATACTATCATTTTTTTCAAAAGTAACACTGATTAACCAAAAAAAACTCATTTTTAGTGAACATATTTGTATCCATAGTTCAGTTTCACATGAGGTGAAATAGACTATTTTTCACCACTAATAAAAAGGCATAGACACCCATAACTAAACCTAAACCTATACTTCAAAAAAGCAAACATGTACACAATTTTTTTCACATATACACACACATCCCAACAAAATCGAATCCTCATACAAAAACACACACACACACATACCTTGTGGCCGAGATCCAGACGATCAACATCCAAAGCATACAGCCTGAACTCAATCCGGTGGCCGGGCCCCGGAATCTTTGGCGCCTGCCAACCGTGCTTCTTCAAGTCGTTGTACCCTTCTTTAATCCCTGCGAACTCCCCGCCAACTTCCTCCTCCCTGCCGGAAAATCCCTCCGGCAGCCCCTTCACGGCCGCCGGAATATCCACCACCACCCATATCACGAAGGGCACGAGTGGGCCCGCTGGGTCTGGCGCGTCCACGTCATGCACGACGAGGGCAAGGCTCTTGGTCTCCTCCGGAAGGTTGTGCCACTCGAGCGGCGGCGAGATGTTGCACTTGGCGCCTTGACCTTCGCCCAGGTACTGACGTGGCATGCGGCCCTCGTGGCTGATTTTGGAGGAGACTAGTCGGAATTCGTCGCTTGGGTTTGC